TTATAGTTGGCATGTTGTATAATAGATCTCTTGAATGTATTCCTCTTATCTAAATTAAATTTTCTTTTTGACCAACATCTCCCCTGTCCCATCCCTGCTTCACCCTCTGGTAATCATCATTCTGCTTCTGTTTCTATGAGTTCAATCTTTTTAGATTCTGTATATAGTAAATGTAATTGTGGAGTTCAGGAATTTTTGTTACTATAATAAAATACCCAAGACTATGTACTTTATTTAAAAAGATTTATTTAGTTCACAGTTCTGGAGATTCAAAAGCATGGAGAGAGATATCACATGACAAGGCAGGACGTGAGAGAAATTCAGGGTCCAGGCTTACTCTTTTTATATAACATATAATTGCTTAAGAAGTAATTCACTCTGTGAGACCAGCATTAATGGCTGAGGGTAGTACTGTCCTCTCATGACCTATTACCTTGTACTAGTCCTCACCTCCTAAAGGTTCCAATACCTGTCAATTTCACCATGCTGGGGACAAAATTAATGGAATACAAACTTTTGAAGAACCACTTAAACTGTATTCAAATCATATTAGGAAAAATATCTATGTTGGATATAATATCTAAAGATGATGTAAAATATTGGTTTAATTGTCCCAATGAATTGTCTATCACTCTATTTGGTGTCTTTCTCTAATGAACATTTAAAATTTTCTCATTATCCTTGTCCAGATATTTTACCCCAAGGCCTCTGATATGTCCTGAAGAGGCTGAAATCACAACCTTCAGATTTTGTGTATCACTGGTTCTTGGATTGCTTCTTTGTTTATAAAATTTTTAAAAATTACTCTTAGCAAAATTCTGGTGTATTATTGTGTCTATAGTTGGCAAGAAGAAGAATGGAAAGAAGGGCCAAAAGAGAGGTAGCAGAATACAACAATTACTAATTGGGCATTATGTAAAATTGTGGATGTGTAACCGACGTGATTCTGCAATCTGCATTTGGGGTAAAATTGGGAGTTCATAACCCACTTGAATCTAATGTATGAAATATGATATGTCAAGAGCTTTGTAATGTTGTGAACAACCAATAAAAAAAAAAGAAAAAAAAAAAAGAAGTCCCTGGGCACAGCCATGAAACACATCTCTCCTGGCTGTAGGTCAAGGTTTCTGTTGGCATTTGATATGGTGAGGAGGGGGGATTGTTCTGTTCCTTCTTGGATATTTAGCAGCATCCTGGCTTTCTACACATTGGATTCCTGTAAATCTGCTTCACCAGGAGTGGCAATTAATAGCATTTCCAGATATTACTATACATCCCCTATAATGGTGGTGGTGGGGCTCATCTCCAGTTGAACATCCTCCTCCCTTGTGATCCTTGAGTTTAAGTTCTCTGGGTGAGGGTTGGAATGAACTGGGGAAGAGGAAGATAGAGGAAAAGAAATCAGGAAGAAGATGGGTTCTTGAATGCTTCAGCCCCTGCTGAGATGCCCCTTACGCTAACAAACTCACTGACTGACAAGTTGGCTGTGTGCTAGATCACCAAAAAAAAAAAAAAAAAAAGAGAGAGGTAAGGAAAGAACATCTTAAATATAATACTCATAACAAAAGGAATATGAGGAATTAGCACACCCAGGTACTGCTGGAAGGACTATAATTTTTTTTACAAGCTTTCTGGAGGGCTCTTTGATAAAAGATCAAACTCTTAAAGATGTGCTTAGTTTTTAATCCATAAGTTCAATTTCTACATTACTATATGGAATTCATTTTATACACATAAAAAGATTTAGTTATAAGAATGCTAATGGCTGCATTTGTTATAGTAAATAATAGGAAATAACTCTACCCAATCAAGTATTCTCCTGTCATTAACTATTACATCATAGAATGTTTAATGACATGCAAAATATTAACATTGTTGATCAAAGAAAGTTACAAGATGTTGTATATATTGTGATTGCATAACAACAACCAACAGATTTGAAGGTTTAATACCAAAATATTAGTGTTATTAGCCAGGTGCAGTGGCACATGCCCGTAATCCTGTAATCTCACCATCTTGGGAAGCTGAGGCAAGAGGATTGCAAGTTCAAAGCCAGCCTCAGCAATGGTGAGGCACTAACTAAGCAACTCAGTGAGATCCTGTCTCTATAAATAAAATACAAAATAGGGCTGGGGATGTGGTTCAGTGGATGAGTGCCCCTGAGTTCAATCCCTGGTACCTAACAAGAACATCAACAAAAATATTACTGTTATTGTATTGTGATTTTTTTCCTTACCTCCCTCCTCCTATTTTTCTTCCTCTCTACCTCCCTACCTTCTTTCCCTCCTTCATTTCCTCTTTTTCTTCCTCCCTTCTTCCCCCTTCCTTCCTTCCTTTCTTCCTTCTATGATGTACATATATATAAAACATAGATAAGATAATTTAACTTTGAATGATAAATTCCAAATCAACAGAATTGGTATCTCTGATAAAGATGATGACATAAATTTTAGCAACTGTGACAAATACCAAAGAATTGGTAATGCAGGGAGAGTAGACATTCATATTTAGCAAACAATTGTTTTATAAGATTCCCTCTAAAAATATTTGTTGAGATATTTAGATCCCAAAATTTTGAAAGTAGACATCTAGACTGCACCAAGTTTCCACTAGAGTCAAATATGACTTGGGTCCTTTCACAAGGGAAATGAAGGAAAACAACAAGCAAAGAGGAATGTCATGGAGCTAATTGAGCCTGTATAGATGTTGTTTGTTCCCTTCAGTACAGGACAACCCAGAATAAGGGTCTTAAAAAATCTCCCCTCAGGGAAAAGTGACTTCTTCAGAGCCTTTCCCTCCAATAATCCATCTGTCTGTAGAAGCTGGAAGTTTGTATTTAAAATTAGATTTTAAAAAAAAACAAACTCATGAGGCATATTTGGAGACCTCTGGAAGCCACCATTGTTCTGTACCTTTCTACCTCCTTGCTTTTCTTATGCTGCTGTCTCTTCCAGGAATGCCCTACACGATTCCTGGTCCGTGGTAAGGAACTACTACCATACATGTTTATCTACTTCTAAATCCTAGCCATGAACCGAAGACAAAAACTTGATATTCATCCCCCAATAACTCCTACTGAACCAATCTGAGAAGCACAAAGTGCATGACCACTGTGTTTACAAGTGTCACTTATGAGCTCAGACTGATGGGAAGACCAGACACATACTCCTTAGGTAGATTAAACATGGTCTAACTATCTAAATGATCTAAAAGGAACTCAAGTTATGATATACATCACAGAGATCAGCTGCATCATTCAGAAAGATGGAGGTTCAGTCTTCTGAAATCCGCACCAAAGTGTTCATAGTTGCACTGGACTACATCTGAGGAAAGCTAATAATCAGCCCTTCTATAAGTTTAATGGCTCTTCTTTTTACATCTAGGTTTACATGCACAAGACTATATCAGTTCTCTAAGTTTGCTAATCTTAATTTGTGCTGGGGACCACTTCATTAGAGCCAGGAGCACCTAATTTAAACCAACTTTTTACTGTGGAAATAAATGAAGACCAACAAAATGAGAACAAGCAAAGGCCATTTATTGAGAGCTTGCTATATTGAGGGAGTCAGTCACCATCATTTGCACTTTGTGAAGAGACTCAAAGTTTAGGCATAGGAGTGGAGAAAAGAGAAGGTTTAAATTGTGCCCTAATTGGAGGCTGCTGGCATGGGGAAAAGTAGGTTGGGAACAACAAGTAAGGAAACCATCAGTTAATAATCAAGTCCTGGTCATTTGGAGTTGACAGGATTCATTGTCCTCCTGGACTGTCACTAGAGTTAGCAGTCCGACTACCTACAAGTCTGACTTACAGAGGCTGACTTTCTGGGCTAGTTGATTTTCTGGCAATAATTCATAGTTCACTTCCATATTTAATTTTTTAATATAATATATGTATGTATGGTTACAGGAGGCAATAAATACAATATAGTAAACCCAGGCATGAACAGTCCCATTTGTCACCTTTGGTCTCCCTGAACTGCTGCATCCTGGTCCAAGTATACTTAAACTTGGCATTGCAGAGCAAGAATAGGTGTCTTCCTGAGACATCTGAGAATCAAAGTCTGAGATCTGCTATAAAACTTGTCTGGCAATTGGAAAAGTAATATGGGCAAGAGATGGAAGGAAAATAGAAGTGACAACTGTTTTTTTCTCCCAAACCACCTTCATGGTCATATTTCATCTTCAGATCTTAATGCAACCAGTGTGCAAGTCTTTGAAACTGCTTTCTAATGCTCTCAGATTTAGTGATTTAGGACTGTGTCATCCAAATAAAGCTATTAGTGCTGCTGTAGTGACAAGTCAGGCAACTCACTGAAGGGCTTGATTATGATCTATCATGACAGTCAAATTGCCTTTAGACAGCATGACATATGCAAGACTCAGAGATTCTTTCTGGGAATTGTGGAGGTACTGCTATATTCCAGGCGTGGGAGTTTAGACAAGGAAAAGACACTTCAGATAAATGAACCAATCATCTTCTCTTGGGTCTTGTTTGAACAGGCAGAGAGATTGATTGTCAACTATTGAATTGATTTTTATCCATATATTTAAAAAGATAGCATTTGATGGCTCTCAGCCTCCCTCTCCCACCCCTCTTGCACAATAATGAAACTTTAGCAATGTTTTCTTACCATTGATTTAGAAACATTTCTGCTTTCATTACCTGAGGCCATAGTTGTTGTTTTTTTTTTCTCTAAGCTATCAGGGATGTATGAATCCCATCTCTCAAATAATTTAACTAGAGATTGAGGAACAAATGAATTCCAACTCAATCTAATCAGATAAGCATTTGTTGATGTCATACCTTGTTCTCAGCACCTTCAACTTGAATAATATCAAAGGTAACATTTCATTCCTGATCTTGATACATAGGGAAGTACAGTTTAAAGAAAATGTCGTAAAACTTCATAGGAGTCCACTTTGCCTGCGTCCTCCCGGAGCCGTCCTATCTCCTCGCACCTAGCATCCAGGGAAACGCACGGCTCACTGACGGAGCGGACATGGGCAGAGCCATGGTGGCCAGGCTGGGGCTGGGGCTGCTGCTTCTGGCACTGCTCCTACCCACGCAGATTTATTCAAATCAAACAGCTGTTGTGACACTTTCAAGTAACTCCTCACAGAGAACCTCTGCTGCTCCCAATTCAACTAATGCTACACCCAGCACAGGTGGCAGTGCCCTGCAGTCAACAGCCAGTATCCTTGTGATCTCGCTCTCTCTTCTCCATCTCTACTGTTAGAGACTCAGGCCAAGAAACGTTTCTACTTCCCCAACTTCTAAACCCAATCGGAATGGCGACTAGAAGTCCAGTGTGTCAAGGAAGAAGCTGGTCTGCATCAAATCTACCAATTCCACACCTGATTTTATTGGCACAGAAAACGTTGAGAATGCCAAATTGATTGGTTTGAAGGACATGTGAAGGGTTTCACAAGTGATGAATGCCAATATTAAATCTGCTGGAGTTTCATGTGCAAGATAAAGAGATAACATCCAAAATTGAGACATGATTTCCTTGAATGAGGCAAAAGAAATATGGACATTTAAAACTCTATCTTGAAAACAAGAATAGATTTTTGTCTAGAGATAAAGGATGGAATGTGGAATGGAGATTTCAGTTTTTATTTGGTTCATGAAATCGATAAGGCCATAAAACGGTTAGGTAATATAAAAAGCTTCCATGATTCTATTTATACGTACACTAGAGGGAACTTCTAGGTGTTTCTGTAAATCCTCAATGTATCATTTCAGCAGTGCTAATTTAATGCTGATATATTCTAGAAAAAGTTTCACATTGTTAAGCTATTTCTGTTCCTTTGGGAACTGAACTCTTTCCTCTGTGGTTTTTGGATTTGACATTATGTTTGAACTTTTATGTAGTAATTGACATGTGCCAGGGCAATGAGAGATTGGAATTCACCCCAAATCCAGGCATCATGAGTAAATCTTGCTTATCCTCTCAAAGTCAAATGGTTGGCATCTCCCATCTCCTGTTTTCATTCAACAAGAGTGCCAGATTCCTTTAGCTAAACTGATTCCAAAGAGTAGAATTGCATTGACCTCAACTAATTTCAAAACGCTGCTTTTTATTTCTACATCTGTTGAATACTTTTCATAATTGAAAATGGTCTGCTTTGAAGGTAAAATGGCAAATCTTGAAATTAGAAAGGCAACTATGTGAAGAAGCCAAATTTATAAATCAGCATTTGGGAAGTGAAGACTGTGGAAGCTAGCTTGCATATTAAATTCACAAAAACTTTTATACTTTTTCTATAAATACTTTTTTTTAAACTATGGATCAGAATAGCCACATTTTGGAACACTTTCTGTTATCAGTCAATATTTTTAGGTAGTTAGAACCTGATCCTAAGCTTAAAAGCAGTCTTGATCCTTTAAATCTTTTACAACTGCCTTGAAACACAGAAACCTTTTGAAAAATACACACTCCCTAAAATCTTTTGTTCACATGGTCAAACACTGATGCTTATATGTTCCAGTATCTAATATGGCCACCATAGTCTTGATAACCCAAATTATTTTTTCTCATCTTTAGAAACCTACACAGAACAACCAGATCAAACAGATCTAAAGCTACTATGTGTGTGAATGAACACGCCCCTTTGCTTCATACCTGAATGCTGTACATCTATTTGGATTATATATTGTGTTTGTGTATTTATGCTTTGATTCATAGTAACTTCTCATGTTATGGAATTGATTTGTATTGAACACAAACTGTAAATAAAAATAAATAAATGGCTGAAAGAGCAAAAAAAACTTCATAGGAACTACTAAGAAAAATGTAATATAATTTTTATTAATGAAAAATATGCTAGCAAATATTGCAGTCTATGAGACAAAAATAAAAAAGAAAGCAAAAAAATATAAGAAAAGAAAGAAGACAATGTCATTATTGAATTGATTTTTATCCATATATTTAAAAAGGTAGCATTTGATGGCTCTCAGCCTCCCTCTCCCACCCCTCTTGTACAATAATGAAACTTTGGAAATGTTTTCTTACCATTGATTTAGAAACATTTCTGCTTTCATTATCTGAGGCCATAATTTTTTTCTCTAAGTTATCAGAGATGCATGAATATATAATATATAACTAGATATAATAACCAAGAGAAATGGTTTAACCTCACCTGTGAAAACAAGGTTAACTAAATTCTATCTATAAATGAACTCCATCCTAAGTAACTCTTGAAGGCAGAGTACAAAAAGATACACCAGGAAAACACAAATAATCAGATTATATATTGCAATAGTAATATCAAATAAGTATAATTCAGGTTCAGAAAAATTAAAATGAAACAAAGGATATAATTTTATGTTGATGGAAACAATTAAAATGTTGGCAAAGATAGTGAGAGGTAGACGCATTTACTCTGCTGGGAGTATAATCTAGTAAGTTCTTTTCAGCCCTTTTCCTACTATTGTCAGTCATAAGGGGGTCTCTTCTCAATGCATTTTCTTCTCATTGGGCATAGTTTCTTCACCTCAGGATTTTTTAAAAAGTATCTTCTTAAATATGTATTTTAGTCTCTTACTGCTGCATAACAAATTATCACAGATGTAATGGCTTAAAGCAATCTCCATGTATTAGTTTACAGTTCTACAGGACAAAAGCCTGAGCAGACTTTCCCTGATTAGGGCCTCAACAGGTCAAAATCAAGATGTAAAATGAACTGGGCTCTTATCTGGAAGTTTCAGATCTGACTTTCCCTGTACCACCAGCCAGAGGAAACTCAACTCTCAAAGAGCTCACATGATTGATTAAAACCGCTTGGGGTGATCTGTCTATTGATTAACTCAAAGTCAACTGGTTAGTACTCTTAAATTACATCAGCAAAATTTCCTTTGTTGTGCAATGTGACATAATCACAGGGTGATGTTACATATATCTTATTCATATTCCCTCAGATTAGGGCAGAAAATCTCGGGGTGGAGGTATGCATTTCAGGATCCTGCCTACTACATTACTAAGGCTTCTTTTCATTTACTATCACATGAGTCTCTCTCTCTCTCCTTTTTTAATATTTACTTTTTTAGTTGTAGATGGACACAATATCTTTATTTTATTTTATATGGTTCTGAGGATCAAACCCAAGGCCTCATACATGCTAGGCGAGCGCTCTATTGCTGAGCTACAACCCCAGCCCACATGAGTCTTTTTAAAAAATATTTTTCATTGTAGATGGACACGATACCTTTATTTTATTTATTTTTAGGTAGTGCTGAGGATTGAACCCAGTGCCTCATACATTCTCAATAAGTGCCACAACTGAGCCACAACTCCAGCCCCACATGACTCTTAAAGGAATACAGTTTCTCAGCATCCTTTACAAATATCTTGGTTTCTCACTTAATTTTACCATATTAGAATTTTGTTTTCCACATGCCTTTTGGATTTCCAAAATTTTTCTTGATGAAAAGAGCAAACTGCAGGTTAGTGTAGCCATGTTCACACTGAAAGTTTCTCTGATCATTTTTTTGGGGGGAGGGTATGTGTGTGTGTGTGTGTGTGTGTGTGTGTGTGTGTGTGTGTGTGTGTGGTGCTGGGGACTGAACCCAGGTCCTTGTGTATGCAAGGCAAGTACTCTACCAACTGAGCTATATCCCCAGCCCTTCTTTGACAATTTTTGATGGTGTTTCATTCCTTTACTGGAATGTTTTATTATTCCAATCTTTGTTTCTTTTGAACCCCCTTTCAAAGTTATTTTACATTCCTGTGCCTAATAATTGATATTTCAGAGTTAGGAAAAGAGGGATAAAAATCCATTTCTGTGGTCTTGCTCACCCCAGCCTGTTTCTCTCTACATTGGGTAATATTGTCTGGCGAGGTATCATTTGTTAAAATTTAATTGGGGGGATCCTAAGAGCCTAACTTGGGGATATTTTGCTTTAGAAAAGATTTGTATTTTCAAAGCTCCTTCAGACATCCCTGGCTCAATGGTATAAGTCCTTATATCTTGCTAGAGGTTTAGAGCTTAATCTTCTGGTTGCTCTGATCCTAACATTAGTCTTCATCTGTCTTCTCCTTCTCCCTTCTTCCTTTCCTTCTCTTGCTTCCATTCTTTCCTTCTTCCTTCCTCCCTGCTTAGTTCATGTTTATAAAAGTACAGAATCAGGAGTATGGGAGACAATGTCTCCACTGTTCTCAATGTCATCAGTGTAAAATCAGTGCCCTTTTTTGAGAGAGATTTTTAAGGAGGTCATGACCAAAGTGATACTGCACAGCCTGGAGCATCAAAGCATAGCAAAGACGAAGAGCAGCCAGATTTGCTTACTTTATGTGAAAAAAAGAGGGGAGGTTTGTGATTTCTCTTCAAATATGTGGAAGGATATCATGAGAGAGCGAAATAAGACTTAATCTTTTGTGTTGCAGAAGCTGAACCAACAAGTGGATCTATCAGGAGGGTTCACTCAGCTCAACAGAATATAGAACTTGTACAAATGGGAATTGTCTGCCTTGGAAATAAAATATCCCTCCTGTGATCATGTAGATGCAGAATAAATATCCTCTGCATTTCAACTTTGGCTAAGATGCCATAGAAGTGCATAGATTCAAGACTGGCTAGTTTCATGACTCATATTTATTCATTTCTCTCTCTCTCTCTCTCTCTCTCTCTCTCTCTCTCTCTCTCTCTCCCCTTCCTCCCTCCCTCCCTTTAAATAAGAAATTGTAGCCACCTGGAACAGCTACTTATCCCCTTATCCCACATTCTGACTATGTGAAAGGAAACTTTGTGTTATAGTATTGAAGAAACATTTCAAACCAGTGAATCAAAGTAATCATTAGCTTATTTTACTTAAACTAAACCAAGAAAAATAGGCAATTAATTTTTATGCAAAGTATTCCTCTCATGCATATATACATTGGGATAAAATAAGATGCATATTTCTATAATAATTAGTAAGGTTCAGTCAGAAATAGGGATTTGGTTTCTCTTAAAGTAGAACAGACAGTGATAAATTAGAAGAGATAACATACCATAAGCCATATAATGAAATCTAAAATGTGTTTCAGGGTTCAGGGTATTTAAAAGAAAAAAAAAACTGGATACATGCTTTAGAATATTTTTGTATAAGACATTCAAATATTGTTAATTTTTTCTTAAAATTTTATTTGAAAGTAAAACATAGTTGTTCTGAAATCATAGCATGTGGGGAAACAAAGTATTTTTCACTGTGGAATGTAAGTTTATGTTGAGGTTTGGGGTTGTAGCTCAATGATAG